CTGGTCTCGAAGAAGACTCGACTTCAGTTCTCAGCACTCAGATGATGGCTTATCGTCACTTGAAATTCAACTTCCAGGCGTTTGGATGCCTCATCTGGTCTTTTCAGTGGTCCACACAAACTAATGTGGGCAGGCACGTATTTACATATAAATGGGTTTTACAAATAGAGGAGGGAGGGGTTATGGAGATAGCTCTGCAGGTACAGGCGTCTTCAGCCAAGCCTGATGACCTGAGTTCAATCCCCAGGGCACACATGGTAGGAAAAAAAAAATCAATACTCTGATTCTCTGATCCCCACATGCAAGCTGTGGCATGTCCACAAGGGCTGGAGCACAGACTTGTGCACACGCGTACACACACACACACACACACACACACACACACACACACACAACATACACACACACATACACACACATACACACACACATACACACACACAAATCACACACACACACTCATACACACACTCATACACACACACATACACACACATACACACTCACACATACACACATACACACACACACATACACACACATACACACACATACACACACACAAAAATCATACACACACAAATCACACACACTCACACACACACACAAATCACACACACACAAATCACACACACACACACAAATCACAAACACAAATCACACACACACACAAATCACACACACACACACACACACACAAATAAATGTAATTTTTTTATTGCCTGATAAATAAATGTAATTTTAAGGGCCCTCTGAGAACTGGAGAGATGGCTCATCGGTTAAGAGCACTGGCTGCTCTTCCAGAGGTCCTGAGTTCAACCCAGCAACCACAGGGTGGCTCGCAGCCATCTATAATGAGATCTGGTGCCCTCTTCTGGCCTTCAGGCATGCATATAGGCAGACTGCTGTATACATAATAAATAAATACATCTTAAAAATTAAAAATAAGCCTGGCGTTGGTGGCACTCGCCTTTAATCCCAGCACTCAGGAGGCAGAGGCAGGCGGATCTCTGTGAGTTCCAGGCCAGCCTGGTCTCCAGAGCGAGTGCCAGGATAGGCTCCAAAGCTACACAGAGAAACCCTGTCTCGAAAAAGCAAGCAAACAAATAAATAATAAATAAATATTTAAAAAATAAGACTATAAAAGGACCATGCATGGTGCATGGCACACAGGTAGGAAAAAAGGGCCAACCAAAGAAACACACTTTGGCCCTGCAACCAGAGCCAAATCTGACCCTGACCCTGAGCAGAAAACCACCCAATCCCTGAGCTTGAGATCTAGCCAATCTGAGCTCAGAGATTGAAATCTGACCAATCCCCACCCTGGAAAACTCCACCCATAAGAAGCCCTATATAAATCCTGTCTGTTCAGCTTGTGGCTGTCAGTCTGTCCTGCTGCCTGGGAGTCCTCTGTCAACCTGGCAGAGCCCAGCCACTCTCCTGGATTCTTCCCTCCTAATAAATCTCTTGAATGAAGTTTTGGTGAGACCTTTCGATGGAGTGGAGCAGAGGAGAGAAGTAAAACTTTGGAGCCAGAGAAGAACAGAGCAGAGTGAGCCAGGCAGGGCTGTAACACTTTCCCTGGGTAAACGTTCCCCTAGTGAAGCGACTTTGGGGGACCTGGGAAGCCTTTCCCTGCAGCAGGGCTGTAAACTGCTACACAGTTTGGTGTGTGACCTGTGGTATTCCTTGGCTCCCAATTGCCAGAATACCTTTCCATTCGAGCTGTAACACTTAGTATTCTGTGGCTCCCGAGTGCCAGAATCCCTTTCCATCCAAGCCATGCAATGCTTACAGCACACCTTTAATTCAAGCACTCAGGAGGCAGAGGCAGGAAGATCTCTGTGAGTTAGACTGTCAGCCTGGGCTGCATAGTGAGTTCCAGGACAGCCAGGGCTACCCAATGAGCCCTGTCTGGGTGGAAAAGGAGGAGGAAGAGAAAAGACAAACATTACTCCGGTGTTAAAAAGAGTCTACAAAGTTAATTGACCCGAGCTGGCTTTAGTTCCCTTACTAGCAATTCAGGATAGGTGCAGCAGTGCACTCTGTAACGCCAGCCCTGAGCCTGTGGCTCTTGCCTGGAGTGAAATGGATAACGAGGAGGCACCTCACGCCTGGTATTTCAGGAGATCCTTGAGAAGCAAGGAAGCCCATGAAATCCATTCATAACACAGGCTGGACCCAAGAAAAGCCAAAGGCAGGCAAACCCTCAGTTGTCCCCACCTATGGGCTCGCTCCCTGGCAGAGCTGCAGAAGTAACTCGGTGGAACACTTGCCCTGGAGCTCAGGTAGGTGTGTGCCGATGAATGCACACACACACACACACACACACACGCATGCACACCCAAGCAAGCGAGCGAATACAAAAGAACCTGCAGAGAGCTTCAGATAGCAAGATGAAATTCCGATTTCTGATTGGAATGAGCGCTGTTATATAAATAAAACGTGCTGCTGACTAACTACATCGCGTGGTCAGAGAAGGCCTGGAAGGCCCAGCAGAAGCAGGCTATGGGGATGCCTGGAGTCCAGGAGCCAAGAACAGCACACTTTATAAAAGGGCCCGGATTGGGACCCTGGGAGGCCAGTGTGACTGGAGTGCAGACCAGATAGGATGGGAAGAATTTGGGTTGTGTTTTGTGTTTTTGTTTGTTTGTTTGTTTGTTTGTTTTTCAGACAGAGTTTCTCTGTGAAACAGTCCTGGCTGTCCTGGGACTCATGCTGTAGACCAGGCTGACCTCGAACTCACAGAGATTTTCCTGCCTTTGCCTCCCAAGTGCTGGGATTAAAGGCGTGCCCCACACCCTCAGATTTTGTTTTTATTGTTATTTTGTCTTGTTTTGGTTGGTTAGTTGGCTGCTTGGTTTATTGGTGTTTTGTTTTGTTTGAGACAGTGTCTCTGTATTGGGGAGACCAACCTTGAACTTTCACTTCCAGGGTTCTGGAATTACAGTTCCCCTTCTGCTTCCCCGGCAATTATAAGGCGCTGGATACTGAAGCCAAGGCCTCACACGTGCCGGGCAAACACTTTAGCACCCGATCTACATTTCCAGCCTTGTGTTTTCTGTTTGTGGGACAGGGTCACACTCTGTAGCCCAGGCTAACCTGGGACTCTGTGTGTAGCTATAGCTCTGGCGGGCCTCAAGTTCTTCCCCCGAAATGATCCCCCTGCCTCCCCCAGCGTCCCAAGTGCTGGGTTTACAGTTACCACCATGCCCAGCCTTTTTCTCTTATCTACAAATCAAAGAGAATGCTCCTGCCTTTGCTTCTGAGTACTTGGGATCATGAACAATAAGCACCGTACTCCAATTTTTCTAACTTATTTTTTAACATATTCCTTGAACTCCAGCTAGGATTACAGGGGTGAACCACCATAGCGGGCAAGTGCTGAATACATGGAAAGGGAGAAAACAAACCCTCTAGCAGGGGGCAAAATGCCCTCGGGTCTCTTAGTAGGCACGTTCTTTTGTTGTTTTGCTGACAGGCTCTCACTGAGTAGTCCTGGCTGGTCTTGAACTGGCAATCCCGCTGCTTCAGCCTGCCTCCTGCTAGGTTTGCAGGAGAGCATCCAGCG